ATCAGTACCCATAGAATAACCTCCGGCACGCACTTATGACATCCAAATAAAGTTGCACACTGCTGCTGTGAAGCAACATGCAGTTGTGTCGGTTCCAATAATAAATTGGTCATTTTCAATCCACGACTGTTTGTGGGACATTGCTGTGCGCAATTGGCTGCCGCGTTCGCCCACAAATATACAGTCAATTCACTTTACAGTGTGTTCTTTGGGACGTCCTCCCGACGTGAAAAGCGCTATATCAAATGCGAGGATTATTACTGTGGAATCTCATTGGTGAAAACAGGACAGACTCTAGCCTGTCATAAGCAATGGACTACATTTCAAATGACCCAGTGGAATTAACTATCTAATCGAATGGACCAAATAGCCTCTATCGTAAACGCTGTTTGAATTTAATACATTTACTTTGTTAGCTGCCCCTGTGTGTGTGTGTGTGCTCACACCACAGCTCAAAAACAGACCCTTTAGGGAACTATGCCAGGTAAAAGCAGGTGGAGATGCGAGTAATCAGTAAAGAATGAGGTGGGAATAAGACACGCAATCAAGTCATACGCCTGAGAATTCACCCTCAGGCTCCTGGAGGCTGATCGGGCTAACCAGATTCAAGCCGATGAAATTAAAAAAGGGTTACAACATCAGAATCCATGTAATGATGTCAAATGGATCGGAATGTGCAGATAAGATGAATAAATTCCAATGACAAATGCCATTCAGATACACAATCACCAATGCATCAGCTAATCTCGGAAGGACTGTCCTGCTTACGCTGCAAGTTTAGCCGCAGCGGGGCCAGGCCGTCACGAGCAACAAACTGGCAAACAAACACACAGCATCGAATATCAAGCGCTCGCCTCACAAGTGAGAGGAGTTCAATTCCCGGGCGGGGCAAAATGTTGGGCAAGTTTCCTTACTCCACACGCCCCCGTTTACCTAGCAGTAAGTGGTTGTTAGTCGATTGGGGTAATAATCCTTAAAAAAAACAATAATTTGGTCACTCAATCCGCAACGGTTTGTAGGACTCTGCAGTGCACATTTGGCTGTTGGGTTTCGCCCACAAAGTATACAGCAAATTCACTTTACACTGTATTCTGTGAAGTGATTATTGGTCTTTTGATCGGCAGCTCACTTCACCCGCAAAAATCCACGTGCCCACGCTCAAATTGTGCAGGAAAAAGTAATGATTCAGAGACAAGGATGCTAGATGTGCCTTGCATAATACAGGGAGATTAGAGAAATAAAAGTGGTGGGAATAATTTCCAGATTTGCTGCCAAAAAACGACACATGCAAAAGTCAGCAGCGAAATTTACTTCACCTCCATTTCAGAGTTAACTTCTGCCATTATCTCCAGCTCATCTCGGGAAGGACCACACTTTGGGGCTGAAACACTCTTTTCCCCCTCCCATCGTCAGACATATTTATATGTATACCATTAAGATACCTGAGCTGTCGGTCTCATACCTGGCCTGAAAGACATTACATTCCAGGCAATGTTCAGATGTTGTGACCGCTTTAGACCCTCATGATGAAGCCAAAGATAATAATAATTACTGTCTTAATATTCAAAAGATTATAAATTTTCTCCCAGCAGTCCCACAGGGGCAAACAGGAGAAACATTATTCTTCTAGTTTGTCAATTATTCACTAAAGTTAGGGTAGAACCAGACAAAAAATTAACTTGAACCAAAATGTCACAAATGCACCAGGATTTTCATCAGCTCCCTGTGCAACACTAAAAACAACAAAATTATATTTGTGTAGTGCCTTTCATGTCAGGAGGACATCCCAAGGTGCTGACCACAATGGTTTTGAGCACTGAAAACCACGTTGCCTCAAATAAAATGTGTAATATTTCCAGAGTATTTCACCACCTTCCGAACTGACAACACACAGGCAATATTCAGCGCAGAAACAGCCACATGAACTGGTATATATGCCCAAACCACTAACAAACAGCACAGGACTCTGCAGCTTAATATACAGAGGTTTTCTTCTGATTGTACCAGTATCCACATTAAGAGACTCAAGACGGGATTGTGTTGGAGAGGTGATCGCTACAATCAACAACAACAACATTACATTCGTATAGCGCCTTTCACGGCAGGAGGACGTCCCAAGGCATTAATATAACTAGTAGCAGACAGATACTAGTGTGATACATTAAGGTCTCGCACAGGAAATGTTTTTGTGGGGTTCTTCCAAATTGACAACACTGTGCAAATAAGGAAATTGAGTTTGCCAGTTGTTTGCTAACCAGCAGTTTCTAAATCAACTGATCTTGCAGAATTAACACTCAAGTCCCAAAGCCTAGGAGAGCCTCTCAAAAACAATATACATCCAAATGCTGTGCACTAAATCCATGTCCCATTCCTTATCAAGGAAAATGATAATCCTGGCATGCCCATGAAACATCAAACTGCTGTGCGTGTTTCACCCACAAAATATACAGTCAATTCACTTTACAGTATATTCCATGAAGCGCTTTTGAACGCCTCAACCACACAAAAAGGTGCTATATCAAATGCAAGAATTATTAATACTATTATTAAAGCTGCATCAAGGCTGGAATCATTTCCATTGCTTCATAAGGCAAGCAAAGCCAGGTCAATTCTGATTTCATCCTGCACCTAAACAAAGCGGGTTTTGCAAATCATGATCACCGAGATCAGGAAACCCCTCTGAAGGCTGCCTGTTTTTAACAGAGCATCTCCAATACGCAATGCTGTTTCCAGCAGAGAATCCCGCAGAAGTGAACCCACTAGGTTCAATCCCAGTTATGTTGAGAGTGAACTCAGCAAGGGCAGCATTTGGGAAATAAATTGGATTTGAGAAGGGAATTCCTCTTGACGTGAAAGGTGCTAGTACAAATGTCATTTGCTACTGTTGAATTAAGAGCCTACTCCCACTTTCTCTCAGCCATCACATCCCAAAATTCTGGAACACTCGTCCTCGATCCCTCCGCCTTACCCCTTTCTTGCCCATACGCAGGTCGTGCTCGCTGACCTTCCTCTCTGACCGTGCCTTCGGTCAAGATTTCACTAAAATTATACAAAACTGTCAAGTTAACTTTAACAACTACTGATTACCTTTTTTTTAAAAAAACGTCCTGAGTAGAGCAGTCACACTAATCTTAATTCAGAGTACAACAGTGCTGATAACTTCATAAAATTTGAAAACCATAGATTAGAAGTTATAATTTTAATCCTCGGTCCTCACCTATTTAGCTAGAGCAACATTAAGGGGGGGGGGGGGAAGAAAGAAGAGAATATTAAGGTTCCCAATCCAAATCACTAACCAGTGATGGCAGTTAGATGTACGCTCACAAATATGTCATGCAACAGTATGATCAGATCGGGGAACTGACACTCCCTTTCTAGGCTCACACAGAAAAATGGACAATTGGGCGAGGCAGGAGTGCCACTGAATGAGAAGTCACTTAATCGGAAGAAAAAAAATTTTTTTTTTTAATAAAAAACGTACAATCACGGGTGCACAATTTAAAATATCGCAAATCCAGCCCGTCGGCGCGGCACATAAGTGATTTCCTTCCCTCTAAACACAATTGTCTTCCAATTGATGAATCCCTTAATATACAATCATAAATAATTTATGGCCTAAAAAAGTGCAGCTGTCAAAAATCTGTTTGTGCTTTGGAATACATTAAAGTCAAAAGGCATAAGAACTGGAAATTATCCAAAAGTCCACAGCTCACTGCTGCTAAACTGAGTGACCTTCTACTGTCACAGACCTGGGTTACAAATTCTGTCAGTTAATGATTCAGCAGCTCAACTAAATAGTCAACTGCAAAGAAACCAATTGCAAAATCTTTCTACAGAAAGAGCACTATACAGGATAAAGGTATTACTACCTTAAGCCTCCACTTCAATGAACACCACATTCCTACAGTTCATAGATTTCAAGACTATAAAGGAATTCATTGCACACACACACACACCTACAACCCGACGAAGATTAATATTTTATAATCTAATTTTAAAAGATGCTAACAGCTCCCAAAAGCCTGACTCATCCAACATGGCTCTACCTCTCTCTAAGTCTCTCCATTCACATGAATGGATTACTTCCAAGCCTGTCCCCACACGACCATAACTACTTTCATTCCAAGGCGGGGGCTATATTTACTCTGCTCTTAACTTTGAAGCTGATGAGCTGCTGTGTGGGGTTCACCCTCTCCACACACACACTTTCTCCTATAGTTCTTGACGAAAAGGCTTTCACACCGAAGTTAACGTCAGATTTAGGAATCTGCCAAAATTCATTCGGGGCTCTTAAATGTTCTTAATTGTGAGTAAATCCAGAGCCGCGTCCTTAACCTAAATCTCAGCGCCTTGGGGGCATCCTCCTGACGTGAAAGGCGCTGCACAAATGCAATCTTCTTGTGGTTGTAAATCTCAAGACAGTGAATGTGAAGCCAAGTGAAATCTCTCCAGCAACCCCACCGCTCTTCATCCCCCCTCCCTCCAGCCTACCTCGCCCTTTCTCCCCCAACCCATTCCTCTCGCCCCAGTCTATTCCTTGCCATCTCGTCCTCCCCCCCACCCAACCTATTCCCCCTAACCTCGTCCCCTCTCTTCTCTCCCAAACCCAATTCCCCCTCAACATTTTTGTCCCAACCTATTCCCTTTCACTCAACACATCCCCCTCTCTCCCAGACCCATTGCCCTTCCCCCTAACCTATCCCCACCCCCCAACCCAGTCCATCCCCCCCCCTCTTTATTCCCCCTTCAACCTCTTCCCCTTTTCCATCCTCCAGCCGAACCTATTCCCCCCTTTCCCGCAGCCTCTACCCCTTTACCCTCAGACGATACCCTTTCCCTCGCAACCTGTTTCCCTCCCCCCCACTTTCCCCACTCACTCCGTGCCCCCACTCTTGCCCCCCTTTCCCCCCCCTCTCCTCGCCCCCTTCGCCCCCGTACCCTTGGCCAGCCCAGCCCCCCCAGCACCCCCTCTCTCCCCCACCCCCCCCCAGCCCAGTTACCTTGCGCTGCTGCCGCTCCCAGGCGGGGTCCAGTAACAGGTCGCGGTCCCAGTCGTCCTCGGGGTGCATGTACTCGCCGTGGTTGGCCTGAGGCACCGACTGCGGCGCGTTGGCCGCGTGATAGTCCACCATCTCCGGGGGGGGGGGGGGAGAGGGAGGAGGAACGGTGTGTGTGTGTGTGTGAAGGGAGGGGAGAGCCGCTTCCAAGGTGAGTGAGGCCGAGGAGGAGGAGGAGGAGGTGAGGTGAGGAGAGTCCCGGGGCCGGGCCGGGCTGAGCGCTCCCTCCCCGCTCGGGGTGGGCCGGTGTCGGTTCTTCGTGCTCGCTCGCTCGCTCGCTCCCTGTCTTGTCTGTCTGTCTGTCTGTCTCCCTCACGGTGCCGCCGCCTCACACGCTACCTCACGACGCGCGGCCTCTTTCGTCCTCTACTCCCGCCTCCGTTCCGCTCACTCACTCGCTCGCTCGCTCACTCTCAACTCGCCCCGCGCGCTGTGTCTCCCACCGACTGGACGGGGGACTGTGACCTGACTGACTGACTGACTGCCTCTCGCTTTGGCGCCCACCGCTCGTGCCTCTCCACTTCCGCCGTCTCGCGCCTTCGGCTCCCGATTCGAAAAAAAACGGCTGCGGCTCGCGCTGGGAGGCGGGGCCTAGCGAGAGGGAGCGCGCGCGCGCGCGCGAGAGAGGGCGGGAGGGATGGGGCACGTGATCACCTCCCTTTCCGGCTCCTGGTTGGCTCCTGCCGCAAGCACGTGACCCGCCCCGGGTCCCGCCTCCCCGGCGCCCTCGGTCAGCTGCCGGCGCTTCCGCACCCACGTGGTGCGGGTCGCCTCGCGGGGCACGCCGGGAGCTGCAGTTTCCACGCCGGAGGATGAGACGAGGTGGCGGGCATGCTGGGAAATGTAGTTCAATGAAGGGAGTGGGGGGTGGTTGATGGGGAGGGGGGAAAGATGATGGGGGAAAAGAGAGGGGGAACATAGAAGGGAAAGGGAAAAGATGGGGGGAACATAGGGGGGGAAGAGGGGGAGGGGGACTTAGGGAGGGGAAAGATGGGGGAACATAGAGGGGAAACGGAAAAGATGGGGGAACATAGGGGGGAACTTAGGGGGGGAAGAGGGGGAGAGGGACATAGGGAGGGGAAAGATGGGGGGAAATCACCTCCGCTCGACTGGCACTGGCCTCCTGTTCGTCCCTCGCAACCTCCGCCCCACCGTCGGAGGTCGTGCTTTCAGCCACTACGCCCCAAAACTCTTGTCACACTGTCCCTCAACCCCTCCGCCTTGTCCCCCCCCCCCCCACCACCTCCGCTTTTTCAAGTCGCGCCCGAAAACTTTCCTCTCCGACCGGGTTTAGCACCACTCCCCCACCGGCTCAGAATCAGTGCTCCGGCACTGTTAAGCGCCTGAGACGCTGCCCAGCATGAAGTGCAAGTTGTTGTTGAGGTTGGACATCATCCAGTTGTTGCAGAATAAGCAATTGCCTTGTGTTTCGCCCACAAAACACAGTCACTACACTTCACAGTATATTCAGTGAAGCGCTTTGAGACGCCTCGAAGAGGTGATAAGGCTCTGTGTCAAACGCAAGGATTGTTATTGTTGGTAGTATTTCACACTCTCAAGAGACACATCCTTCTTTTCTAATTCCAGAGAGTATTAGGTGGAGGTCGGCGAGAGCCGAGGTTTGGAGACCCTCTGGTTGGGGTAACCGCTGGAGCCTGACCAGCTAAAACCCCATCTTGCTGTCCGGCAAGCTTTCCCGCTGCTTGTCCTGCTCGGACCAACCTCCCTGTTGGTTAGTTAGTTGGGGCTTTGGCTGTGGGGTTAACAGGGCTGAGGGGAAGGATTCCCTGCTCCCAGTGACTGGTCGGCCCTTCCAGGTCCTGCCGATGAGCCGGGCCGGGCTGCCACCAGCAGTGAGTGCCCTGGAATACTGCGGCCCCTCCTGGCTCAGGAATCGGGACTAGAGACCGTCACAGAGCGGTGGTGGTGGAGGGGAGGGGGGAATCGCTCCCCACATTCCTCGGAGCCAGTTCAGCTTCGAGGAATGCAGATTACAGATCACCAGCGCGCGTTAAAGTGCAGGTAGTGGTGACCTTTTCTGCGAGTTGACCAACCTCATCAATAATCTCCCCAACCCATCCCCACGCACAAAACTGAAGCAATGTGGCACTCCCATTTCCTACAGCCGTCTCCTCGGTGAGGCTGTACAGTTCGTGCTGTATTGTTACCAGTGTCTGTAACGTACCCAACAGGAACTGATTAGGAACTATTGTTAGGAACCATTAAATAGGCAGAAAAACACAAATGGACACATCATTTTTTTATTTTGGGCTGATGTCGGTGCTGGGATAAAATCTGATGACCCCCGAGCTTTCCGTTTTCGTGCCGTTCTTATAATAATAATAATCCTTAGGTTTGATCCGGCGCCTTATCACGTACGTCTTCGAGACGCCTCAAAGCGCTTCTCAGAATATGGATTGGAGTGAATTTTTTTTGTGAGTGGGGGCGAAACTCAGCCGCCAATTGCGGACAGCGCTGTCTCTCAAACAGCCGTGGATTGAGTGACCAAATTATAATTGTTTTCTTGGGAAGGGATTACCACCTCCGGAAAGCGATCTGTCCATCAACTAACAGTTCTCAGCTGTGTGGGACTGTTGCTCGGTCGGTAGCGCTCACGTCAATTGAGTCAGAAGGTTGTGGGTTCGAGCCCAGTGGGCGAGGGTGTTCACACAGAGGACTTCACCTGGGATAAGGTCTCGGAGCGCTGATCAATGGCGCGGTTTGATGCCGAGCCCGGGAGAAACGGGAGTTGACAGTTAAAGAAGAAAGTCTTCAAGGCAGAAAGAGAGGTGGCGAGATGGAATGGTGAAGGGAGAGAAGTTAATAATAATAATAATTCCCAGCGGGAGAAACTCGGACTCCCAGCAGATCAAAACATTGGGCAAGTTTCCTTACTCCACACACACACACACCTCTGTTTGCTGAGCAGTGAGTAGGAACCCAGTTGTTTAGTTGATTGGCATATCACTTTTCTGCCATTACATTATATTATATTATAAAGTAGATTGACTGTGTACTTGTGGGCAAAATCCTTGCATTTGGAGGACCTCCCAAAGTGCTTCACAAGATCCACGTGAAGTGGAGTGACTGTGAACTTGCAGGCGAACGATATTTTCGCAACCTCAAGCACTTCCCCTCCCAGCGGTTTTTCAAAAGCTTGTCGTGTCCTGTTGTGAACCACAGAACTGGGATTGGTTGCTGCGGGGGGTTAAGGTGTGCGTACGTACAGGTAAAGGAATGCTATAATGACACGTACACACTAGTTTCCCAAGAACACAGCCATTCCCAGAACACCGTGAACACACAAGACCACAAGACCAGAGGAGCCAAGAGTGTTGCGTTGTGACGTTCCTCTGGGTGGTTGGGAACCTGTGATTCTTCCATCGACCTTGTTCTCACCGAACTCCAACCAACGGCTCACGTACAACAGGAAGTCTCTGCCCCGTCAACCTTGAATTCCGAGAACTCCGATACCTTCATTCGTTGCATTTGCATTGGTACAGGGCATCGCTGACCTGCAGCAATAACAATCCTCGCGTTTGACTGAGGGCCGGCCTTATCACGTGGTTGAGACGTCTCAAAACGCTTTGCAGCATATGTTGTGAGGTGTGGTGACTGTGTAGTTTGTGGGCGAAACGCAGTAGCCAATTGCGCCCGGCGACATCCCCACAAACAGCCGTGGATTGAGTGACCATTTTTTTTTAATGATTATTACCCCCGGAAAGTGATCCCCCAATTGACTAACAACTGGGTTCCGAATGACTGCTGGTAAACAGGCGTGTGGGTGTGTGTGTGGGTGTGTGTGTGGGTGTGTGTGTGTGGGTGGGTGTGTGTGTGGGGGGGGTAAGGAAACTTGCCTTGTGGTTTCGCCCTAACCTGACCCGCCCGGGAATCGAACCCAGGTCCTCTGGCTTACGAGGGGAGGGGTCTAACCCCTGAGCTACAGGGACTCCACTGTGTATCCAGAACTAGAATCACAGAAATTGAGAAATAATCAGTCCATTGATTGCTTTCAGTCTGTGTTGAGATTTTTCTGCACGTGAGTCAGAATCCTCCTTTCCTGCTCACTGTCCACACCCTTTAATATTCCTCCTCCAAGAATCTACACTGTCTAACTTCCTTCTAACATAATTAGTGGACACCAGCCTCAATTTTTTGGGGGCTCAACCGGGTGTCTGACACCCACGGAAACCCGTCACCGTGACCGTCCGGGTGTCTGACACCCACGGAAACCCGTCACCGTGACCGGTCGGGTGTCTGACACACGCGGAAACCCGTCACCGTGACCGTCCGGGTGTCTGACACACACGGAAACCCGTCACTGTGGCTTAAGAGTCTCCAAACCCGACTGAGAATTCCCCACATCCCCCCACACCCGGGAACCCAGAGAGAGAGTGTCAAACCAGGATTCATACCAAGGGCGTTCAATGTGACTCCATTTGTAGAGCCCGGTAGCTCAGGGGTTAGACCCCTCGCCTCGCAAGCGAGAGGACCCGGGTTCGATTCCCGGGCGGGGCAGGTCAGGGCGAAACCTTAGGCAAGTTTCCTTACTCCATACACACTCGCTTCTGTTTAGCAGCAGTCAGTAGGATCCCGGTTGTTCGTCGATTGGCGGATCGCTTTTCCGGGGGTAATAATCCCTTCAAAATAATAAATAGTAATAAAAAAAAATAATTTGGTCACTCAATCCACGGCTGTTTGAGGGAAAACCGCTGTGCGCAATTGGCTGCCGTGTTTCGACCACAAAATATACAGTAAATTCACTTTACAGTGTATCCTGTGAAGCGCTTTGAGACGTCTCAATGATATCAAATGCAAAGATCGTTATTATTAATAATTAACTCCTGAATTGTTCCACACAATCTTACATTTGAAAACGATGACTTCAGGGGAAAACTGCAAGGAATTTGGAGTCTGGTATCTTGTTTTGACTTCCTTGATTTATTTTACCTGCATGAATTTCCTTCTCGTTGCTCAGACACACATCCCGCACAGCGAGATCCTTTTACCAGCTGCTGGGCCTTGACGTCATTTCCCACGCAAAGTCTCTCGACTCTTCAAGGTTGTCTGCAGAAGCCGTTCGAATCTGCCACAGG